CAGCAGTGGCCATCCCTCCGCGGCAGCCGTTTTGTTGCCGTGACCTCCATGCTGTGTCAGAATTCCAAATGCACCTGCTGTTAATATGTACTAAAAAGGGGATGAACGTAACCTGTGTCATGATTAACCTGCAGTTAATTTGTGGTGTTTGAATACAGACAAAGCATTAATTTGATACCGGCTTGTTGCTTCATTCCGTTTCAGAACTAGGGTAGCTAACCGTATGGGTTAAACTGTGACATGATGCTGGCCCCACTCTGCAAGGGGGCCTATCCAAATTGAGACCCATTTTGGTGCACAAGCTTCTTTTATTAAACTGGAATGTTGTGTCTTCAGTAGTGTATTGTTTGGGTCAACTGCTGCCAAATTGCAGCTGATTTACAGGGCTTTCGAGCAAGACCGCTGGGTCATTGTTTTGTTAAAGAAAGGTGGCAAGAGATGAACAGAGGTGGTTTGCCATTGCCTGCGTTTAGGTGGTCTCCCATCCAAGTACTAACCAGGGCCATCCAGGTCAAGGTAACACAGTTATACCAAGTGCAGGAGGAGAGTGAAGTGTAAAAAGACTGAGTGTGTCTGGCTGGTAAACAAGTTTTCATACAACTGGAAGGAACCAGAATGTTTGCTCCTCACCAGTGCAGCCCCATAATGATCAACTCTTTCAGGTCACATTACTTCCTAATTCTACCAGTGTTATAACAGTATTATTAATAAGGCTACAAAAGAGAAGACCACAGAGAAGGTCCCTGCCTAACTTTTTAAAAAAACAATTTTTGTAGCTGAAAATATCTAGCTTTCTCATTTTGCAGGTAATAAAGCGCTCTCTTGAAGTTTGGGGTAGCGAAGAGGCATTAGAAGAAGCCAAAGAAAGTCGCCAAGACAGCCGAGAGAAAATGAAGCAGAAAAAGTTTGATAAAAAAGTTAAAGGTAAAGGATCAGTGGGGTCTAACATCTTTGCCCTCTTCCAATCAGTAAAAGATGATGCTCACATATCAGTGTTGATTTCTTAGCGCACTGACCTTTATTGGTACTTAGTATGGAAGCTACCCGTGTTTTACAAAGCATTACACTTCTGACAAGTAGCTTTGGATTTTATGATGTATCTTCTGCTAATGGCTGTTCCCTGGACTCTTAGTTTACTAGACTGTATCGAAGCGCATTAAAACAAACAGCCCTTAAATGCTGATGTTTTCCTTTAAAAAGGTTTTTGTTTGGCAATTTCCACCAATTCCCCCCCACACACACACACACACTCACTAGGGTACCATTATACTATTCCTAAGGGTCTCCTGACCCCTGGGAACAAAACGTTGAAATTAGAAAACACCAGTCCCTCAACTTACAGATAAGCCGTCTCAATACAGGGTATCACTCATCCTGACATCTTCTGGCATATAGCAGATCTTCAGGTGGTTTTACAAAGCAGGCAAATAAAAACAAATTATGGACATTCATTTAGATTTTAGATGACAGAGAGGGTCAACACATTACCCAAATTCTGATTTTTCCAAAATGTGGCAACTGAGCTCAGCCACTCCCTTCTCTTAGGAAAAGAAGCCTCCAGGAGTATTTGGGGTTGTGCAGTTGAGTTGTTCTCATCCTCTTCTGTGAATGCACGTGCCTACTTTGGGTCCTAAGCTCCCACGGGTGTTTCTGAAGCAGCAGGCCATCTCTGGGCACAAACAGAAGAACTGGGGCCTGTTTGCCTTTTAGTTAGTAAAAACATTCTCCTGCTTTCCACCAGAGCTACGTCGAGCTGTAAGGAGCAGCGTTTGGAAAAAAGACACCAGCATCCACCAACATGAATATGGAGCGGAAGAAATGGTGGAAGAGGACTTGTACAAGAAGACCTGTATCACCTGTGGTTATGAATTAACATATGAAAAAATGTAAATAGACTTGCTTTTGTAGAAAAATGCACTTTTTATAATGACTCTCCAGTAAAATGTATCACTTGTTAATCTTTGCTGTTTTTTAACACACTGAACCACACACTAGTTGAACAACATGTTACATGTGTGGTCTGTTCTCTAGCACCTATTCAGTAATGCACATTTTAAAGCAAGTAATGGAAGGATGAGTGTTCTCAGTACAGAGTTCCTTTGCTTGCAGTAATTTCTCTGTTTTCTTTAGGAGAGGAAGGAGACTGGGTGTATGCTACTTTATTAAATAGTGGCTACTGAATATGTAGCTTTGTGCACGGGTACATGTGGATATTTGGAGCAAGGTGCATCACAATCCTAAAGAGCTACACTGTCAAACAACAGTAGGCAAAGGGCTCTAGGAATAATGGTCACACAATTAATTATCAGGTCTCTTTAGTTATTAGTTCTCATGTAGTGCCCCCATCTTCTGCAAGAGCCCTGATTAAAGTCATGGCTGCCTGTCTCTAGTCTAGGCTGCCACAATCTAATTATGCAGCAAGAAAAGTTAATTTAGTTCTGCCATCTCCAGCATCGACAGTATTTTAAAAATATTTTTATCCTATCTTGATGCAGCTATTATTGAAACATAAGACTACCTTTCCTTTTCCAATGTTGTTTCTTACACCACATTTCTTTGGAATTCTTCATGGCAGGTTTGATGTTACCAGGGCTATTTTTGGGCAGGAACGCACAGGAACGGAGTTCCGGCTGGCTCCCAAGTTGGCCACGCCCAGCAGGAACTAATTAGCATAACAGGCCATACCCAACAGCAGAAACTCATTAGGATTGGCCTAGCATGCAAAGAAATTCCTGCTACAAAAAAGGCCCTGGGTTTTGACAACAAACAAGGTAAACAGAATAACAAGCAAAAGGTGGGTGTGGCTGGATAACCACATTTCTGGTAACATGGAGGTGCGGCCTAATGTGCTAATGAGCCGTGCTGTCAAGGGTGTGGCCTAATATGCTAATGAGTTCCTGCTGGGCTTTTTCTACAAAAAGAACCCTGGATGTTACTATATTCCAGGCTTAGGGCCCATAAAGAAACACGCAATAATTTATTTGATGTAGTATTATGTAACAGTTCTCTTCCTTTTCTTTAGACAGGGAATGGGGGGAGGCTTGTTCAGAAGTGGCATTAATTCCTGCTCAGCTGCTCTTGCCCCCCCCCCCAATCGGCCTCATTCCTCACATGGGCTAGGAAGCTGCTTTTATTTTTTTTTAAAAACCCCAACCCATCTCTCCCTCTTTCCAGGGGGTAAATAAAAGTTTCAGGAAAATGAACTGCAGTCCTGGTCTTAGCTTACGTGTGAGGCTGGTGAAGCAAAACAGCTTCCTTGTGTGTGGATTCACAAGGGCTCAGGGCCTCAGTTGAACTGTGCTGCAGCTCATCTAAAACAGGTACACCAGTGCCAAGTGTGAAGAAGTTAACAGAAGCATTACCTGAGCCACAGACTCATAGAATCAAGAGTTGGAAGGGACCTCCAGGGTCATCTAGTCCAACCCCCTGCACAATGCAGGAAATTCACCTCACACTCCATGCTCAGAATATGGCAAAAAAACCCCTCCAGGATCCCTGGCCAAACTGGCCTGGAGAAAATTTGCTTCCTGACTCCCAAAGTGGCGCTCAGCATTTCCCTCAGGGTCTAAGACAGGGCCACAAGAACTAAGCACTGATGCAGCCCTTCCTGCCCTCCCTCTCATGATCTGCCACTCACAGGTGGCAGTCCAACTCTGAAAAGGTGCTGAGTGATGGCCAACTGGTACAATGGTTATTCCTTACAGGCTATTTTAGAGTGAATGGGATTGTCTCCTTGCATTGTGATCCAAAAGAAACACTAGGCAGTTTTTAAAAAACATATTTCGATTGTATTTCAACCGCGTTTCCTCCAACCGTGAAAATTCATTTTGATAACAAACATATACTCTAGGCTTGACCTTTTCAGCACTTCCACAAGTCCTATGGTTCTCTTGCGAGGAGTTCAGTGTTATCTGCCGGAAAAGCTGCTCTTCAGTCAGGTACACAAGTCTCGAGACTCACTTCACATTATTAGAATGAGGGGACTGGGTCACATGGGGGGGGGTGTCAAGCAAAGATAAATTGACTCCAATTCTGTTTCCTATTTTTATACAAACCATCGAGGGGACAAAACAAATGCTATGATGAAGCCAGCATTCAAACCATTTCAAAATAATTAAAAAAAGTCACACATTATTCCATCCCAATCACCTAGCAGTCGTTAACTAGAGTAAGGCCTCTACCGCTAAAACAGTTCCCCCCCCTTAGAGTACTGTATAGCTTATCTAGGACAGCACAGTAAGCTTGTTTTTCAGGTTAAAAGATGCTGAATCTTCCCGTTTTCGTTTAAAAAGGACAACGTCAATTAGGTCCTGTACAAAAAAAAGTAGTAGTCGCTCAGGCCTGCAACGCGCAGAACTGCTGAAATACAGCCAATATGTGATGATCCAATTCTGCTGTGAACAGAAGGTTCTCCAAGGTCACCATGTACTGCTGGATGGTCTGATGATGCTGCAGATAGGAAAGAGGTATCTCAGTGACTTGTGCCATTGGTCTCAATGTGCCCCCCACTTCCGAGAAAGAAAGCCCACAGCTGGCACTGTAATGGCAACACCTCCCCCTCCTCCCCTCACTGTTTCTTCCCATTGCCGATGGAACAGAAGTTTAGATATGGATTGTTATTGGGCATCCACACTTCCAAATACTACAGATCAAGATGGGCAACTGTGTTAGTCTGTCTGTGGCTGCAGAAAAGAGCAAGAGTCCAGTAGCACCTTGAAGACTAACAAAATTTGTGGCAGGGTATGAGCTGTAGTGGCTGTCCACCCAAAAAACCTCACCCCCTGCCACAAATTTTGTTAGGCGTTAAGGTGCTACTGGACTCTTGCTCTTTTCAAGTCCTACAGAATTTGTGGTTATTTCACCTCATGTTATAGAACTCCAAATGGGAACAAAACACGGGGTCCAAGACAGTCTTCCATATGAAGGCAGGTTTAAACGACTTTAGATGATTACTGTAGCTTTCCACCATAAAATTTATAAAATCATGAGGGTGCAAAATATTAACAGTTTTTTTTTTTTTTAAAAACCAACCCTCAAAGTTATCCACTGGAATAACCCAACAATATGGTTTAAAGTTGTGTTACCGTGTAGAATAGATGACAACCTATGGAATTCTCCGCCAAAGAGGGTACACAAGTGGCCTTCCACGTACATGGACTTTGGTGGCTCCTATTCAAAAAAACCAACCCTCAAAGTTATCCACTGGAATAACCCAACAATATGGTTTAAAGTTGTGTTACCGTGTAGAATACATGACAACCTATGGAATTATCCGCCAAAAAGGGTACACAAATGGCCTTCCACGTACATGGACTTTGGTGGCTCCTATTCACAGCCAGAAGTATAAGCTCTGCTTTTAGAGGCAGCTCACCTCTGCTAACCAGATACCTGGCAAAGTGCTGCAGATGCCTCTCTGCCTAAGAATGCATGGAGCTCCAAGGACAGCTGTTCACAGCCAACAGCCAACACAGCAATTATGTTCCATTACAACAGCTGACTGCTCTAGGCACTATTCTAAAATGCAGAGGATGCCGTAGAAGAATCAAAGTGGAATACAATACAAATGCAATACAAAAGCAACCTTGGAGTCCTTGTAATCTGAGACGTGCGTTTGGGACTGGACTGCCATGTCAAGCCAAGCACACTGTCAAGGGCTGTGACACAAGGAGCGAGTCAAGCTGAATCACAGCTGTCCTTCGAGTTGTGTCCGACACCCACCTGCAAGAAGATCTGCTGCAGCCTCTCTATACAGTTCTTGTACCAAGGCGTGTTTGCATCAATCCCACCTGTTTCACATCGCACGAGGTGCTCTGTGAGGATCATGATGAAACGCTGGAAAGGAAAAACAAGGTCACTGAACTGCCATCGGACCAATGATTTCCAAATTACAGGGAAGTCAGCCTCCACAGACAAGATGATGCCCGTGTTTCAAACTCTGGACCAGAATAATAAGGACATTTGAGAAAGACCATCTCTGAATGAATCATGGGACGATAGAATTAGGAACAGCAGCAAAGTTGTCTGGAAATCTTGTGTACTTCTATCAAAGACCAAAATGCAGATTCTAAGATAGATTTGAGTTGAAGAAGAAATTGGATTTATACCCTACCCTTCACTACCCAAAGGACTCTCAGAGCAGCTTACAATCTCCTCCCCCTCCCCACAACAGACACCCTGTGAGGTAGGTGGGGCTGAGAGAGCTCTGAGAGAACTGCCCTTGAGAGAACAGCTCTGAAAGAACTTGTGACTGACCCAAGGTCACTCCAGCAGCTGCATGTGGAGGAGTGGGGGAATCAAACCCGGCTCTCCCAGATTAGTGTCCGTGCTCCTAACCACTACACTGAACTGGCTCTCCAGTAGCACCTTCGATGCCAATGAGGATTCCCAGGGTATGAGCTTTCGAGAGTCAAAGCTCCCTTCATCAGATAGCTTTGACTCTTCAAAACTCAAGAGCTTTGACTCTTGTTAGCTCATACCCTGGAAAATCTTGTTGGTCTCTAAGGGGCTACTGTACTCAAATGTTGCTGTTCTATGGCAGACCAAAAAGGCTACCCTCCTGGAACTAATTCTGACCGAGATCTTTGCTAAGCCAAGAGTCAAATCCCAGGCTGTTCCCTGCTCACCCTCAAGACTAAAAGTACCAGCTCTCTATTGGCCAGTGAACACTTCAGTCTTTTACCTGGAATATTACGAGGAAGAGGTTCTTCTGCTCACTTTGAGCCGACTCGACTTTTTCTTGCAAGCGCTCTATCTGTTCTTCCAGGGGCCGATCCTCCCGGTCACTGCTACGATCGTCGTCGTCGTCATCGCTGTCTCGCTGGAATGAGGGTTAAAGGAAAACAAGCTGAGTGTGGGCACACTGAGGGAGTCATTTGAAAAAGAAAACTAAGGTCAAGTCAGTGTCTGACTTAACAGACTTCCTGTGGGATGTGGCAGGACAAGTATTTCCACAGACGATTAACCAGCAATTGCACATTCTTGCCTAGCCTACCCAAGCTTTTATTTAGAGCTTGAAGTCACCTGGAGACAGATCTCAGCACTCCCCCCCCCTCCCCCAAGATTTACTCCTATAAAAATAGCAAACTGAGCCCTGTATAACACAACTTAGTGGTCTGGCTCTGTGTGCTCCCAGCTTCTGACAGCATGGGGTGGAGCTTACAGTTACGCTCTGTTAAGATGCCTTGCTCCTTCCATCTCACAAAGCAGTTGTGAAGATCATTTGCATACAATGTGCATGGTTCCCTTATGGAATTCATTACCAGCAGCTCATACAATTTCCACTTGTGAACTTTCCCAAGGCATCTGGCTGTGGTCAGAGTTTGGAAGACAGTGCAAGACCAGACAGGTCTTGGTCTGATCCAAACAAAGGACATAAGAAGAGCCATGTTGGATCAGACCAAAGGCCCATCCACTCCAGCATTCTGTTCACACGGTGGCCAACCAGCTACCTCTAGGAAGCCCACATACAGGAAGACTGCATCATTCTGCCAGTGCTCCCCAGCAACAGATTTAAAGAAGCATACTACATCTGGTACTGGAGGGAACAGATACCCATCATGATTAGTAGCTGCTGATAACCCAGTCATCCATGAAATTGTCCACTCCCTTATAAAGCCTTCCAAGTTGGCGGCCATGGCCACATCCTGTGGCAGGGAGCCCCACAAATTAACTACGTGCTGTATGAAGAAATACTTCCTTTTATCTGTCCTGAATCTCTTACTGTTCAGTTTCAGTGGATGACCCCGGGGCTCTAGAATTATGGGAGAGGGGAAAAAGTTTCTCCCTGTCCACCCTCTCCATGCATAATTTTATAAACCTCTATCATGTCTCCTCTTACTCACCTTTTTTCTAGGCCCTAAGCATTTTAACAGATCCCCACAGGACAGCTGCTCCTGATTGTTTTGGTTGCCCTTTCCTGCACCTTTTCAGATTCTTCAAAATACTTCTTTGGGCACAATGACCAGAACTACAAGTTCCAAGTGCAGCCTCACCATAGATTTGTATTAGGGCAGTATGATGGGGGTAGTTTTATTCTCTGTTCCTGTTCTAATTATGGCCAGCATGGAATTTGCCTTTTTCATAGTAGCTGCACGCTGGGTTGACGTTTTCATCGAGCTATCCACTGCCACTCCAAGGTCCCTTTCGTGGTCTGTTGATGCCAGCTCAGATCCCCTCAGTGTATATGTGAAGTTGGGGTTTATTTGCTCCAATATGCATCATTTTATGCTTGCTCACACTGAATCTCATTTGCCATTTTAATGCCCATTCCCACAGTTGGAAGAGATCCTTTTGGAGTTCTTTGCAATCTGTTTCTGTCTTAACCGCCCTAAAAAAATTTGGTGTCATCTGCAAACCTGGCCACCTCACTTTTTGTTGCTGCTGCTGTTGTTCAGTCACAAAGTTGAGTCCGACTCTTCATGACCCCATGGACCACATCACGACATGCCCTCCTGTCCTCCGCTGTCTGCCCAATTCCATGTTCGTTGCATCGATGACACTGTCTAACCATCTCATCCTCTGCCGTCCCCTCCTTCTTTTACCTTCAATCATTCCCAGCATCAGAGTCTTCTCCCATGAGTGCTCCCTTCTCATTTGGTGGCCAAAGTATTTGAGCATCAGCATCTGGCCCTCCAGGGAACAGGGTTGATTTCTTTTAGGACTGACTGATTTGATCTCCTTGCAGTCCAAGGGACTCTCAAGAGTCTTCTCCAGCACCATAATTTGAAAGCATATATTCTTCAGTGCTTGGCCTTCCTTATGGTCCAACTCTCGCTATCATACATTATTACTGGGAATACCATCGCTTTGACCATATGGACTTTTGTTGGCAGGGTGATGTCTCTACTTTTTATTATGCTGCCTAGATTTGCCATAGCTTTCCTCCCCAAATTCCAGGTCATTATGAACAAGTTGAAAAGTCCCAGTACTAATCCTTGAGGGACTCTGCTGCTCACATCCTTCCACTGTGAGAATTGACCACTTATTCCTACTCTTTGCTTCACATTTTATTGCCAGTTTCTAATCCATAAGAGGACCTGTCCTCCTATCCCATCACTTTGAAGTCTGTTCAGCAGTCTTTGGTAAGGGACTTTGTCAAAAGCCTTCAGGAAGTTCAAAATAAACAATGTCTACCAGTTCATTCCTGTCCACATGTTTACTGACGCTTCCAAAGAACTCTAAAAGGTCAGAGAGACAGGACTTTGTGGAAGCCATGTTGGTTTTTATTCAGCAGGGCTTGTCCTATATGCTTGACAGTCTTATCTTGAATAATGCTTTTCATCAATTCATGTGGAACAGACATTAAACTAACTGGCCTGAAATTTCCTGGATCTCCCTGGATTTTTTTTTAAAAATGGGAGTTACATTGGCCATTCTCCAGTCCTCCGGTACAGAAGCTAGTGCATATCTTAGTTTGAGCAGCAATTTCACATTTGAGTTCTCTAAGAACTGTATGATGGACACCATCTGATCTTGGTGATTTTGTTAAGGTTGCCACTCGTCTATTAGTTCTAGAGCTTTCTCCCGTGTCACTGCTATTTGCCTAAGCTCCAAACTCTCCCCTCCTGCAAATATCCATTCAGGAACACACATTTTGCCTTATATAGCTTCAGTAGTGAAGAGAGATGAGCAGAATTCATTTAGCTTCTCAGCAAATTGTCTTATTGTTCTTTAAAAAAGGTAAAGGTTCCCTTGCTCGAAAGCCAGTCGAATCCGACTCTAGGGTTGCGGTGCTCATCTCCATTTCAAAGCCGAAGAGCCAGCACTGTGCGAAGACGTTTCCGTGGTCATGTGGCTGGGCATGACTAAACACCAAGGCGCACGGAACACTGTTCCCTTCCCACCGAAGTGGTACCTATTTATCTACTTGCAATTTCTTGCTTTCGAACTGCTAGGTTGGCAGGAGCTGGAACTAGAGCTCACTCCATCATGCGGCACCCGGGTCTCGAACTGCTGAACTACTGACCTTCCACAGCCTGCAGTTCAGCGTCTTAACCACTTGAGCCACCACTGTCATCTGGTGCTTCCCTGGCCAATTGTCTGCTCCTAATATATTTAAAGAATTCTTTATTGTTGGTCTTTATGCTTTTAGCGATATGTTCCTCAAAGTCCTTTTTTGCATCCCTATTTGTCTGTTTGCATTTCACTAGGTCCAGGGCAGTCCCACTACGGATTAAGTCCAGGGTTGCTTCTTCTCTGGTCAGTTCTCATGACCAGCTGTCCCAGGGCACAGTCATTTAGGTTATCTAGAAATTGTACCTCTTTGGCGTGACTGTGACATGCACTTATCCAGTCAGCACCCATTATTACAACTCCCTCTCTTTTGGATGTCTCCCTAATTTCATTTTTCATCTGCAGATCACTGGAGCATTTTCCTCAGGGGGCCAACAGCACATCCCCAGTACTAAATTACTTTTGGGGCCCAGTATTGTCACCCACAGCAATTCTGTGGAGAAGTCAGCCCGTTTTAAGATTTCTAGTTTGTTAGACTCTATGCTCTCCTTGACTTACATAGCAACACCTCCTCCAGTACGCCTCTCCCTGTCATTCCTATAGAGTTTGTATCCAGAGATGACCGTATTCCACTGGTTCTCTCCCTTCCACCAGGTTTCTGTTATGCTCACTGTATCTATTTTTTCCCCTTAAAACCAAATACTCCAACTCCGCCATTTTGGGTCGGAGGCAGTGTTCCCATTAAGCTGAGTTAGTGTGAGCTAGCTCACCATTTTTTAGCCTCCGGCTCACACATTTTTGTCTTAGCTCAGGAAGGACGGCTCAAGAGCCAACTAATTTATGCAGTCACCAAATCGCTCACTCACAACTTTAATGCCAGTAGCTCACAAAGGAGAATTTTTGCTCACAAGACTCCACAGCTTAGAGGGAACATTGGTCGGAGGATTCTAGCATTTGCATTGAAACACCTCCACACTGTGTTTCTCCCTAGATATCTCTGGTGCATGCCTTTTCCACTCCAGCCCTTTGGCCTCCTTGACTGGCTATTTTGCTTTACTTTATCCTCATTTCCCTTGTCTGCCCAATCCCCATTTGTGCAATTGGAAGCATTTCCCCCGTTTTTCCTTTGGGACAAATCTGCTCAAACTGGATACTTCTCCTCTCCGGTTGGGTTTCCCACCCAGTTCAGTTTAAAAGCTGCTCTGCCACTTTATTATCATTATGGTTCAAGTAGATCCCTTTTATACAGCCTCAGTTTGTCCCAAAATGTCCTCCAGTACCTAGCAAATCTAAAAGTCCTTCTCTCTACACCAGCATCTCATCCATGCACTGAGACTCCCCAACTGCGCCTATCTAGTTGGCCCTGTGCGTGGAACAAGCTACCTTGGAGATTCTGATCTTTAGTTTCCTACCTAGCAGCCTAAATTTGGCTTCCAGGACCTCATGACTACACTCCCCACATCACTGGTCCCAATACGCACCACAACCACTGACTCCTCCCCAGCACTATCTACCAAACTGTCAGGCAGGCAATTCACCATGTAGCCCACGTGCCCATCACAAACCCAGCAAACAAATTTAAAACATTTTTAATGATCAGATCTCCCACTCTGGCAAGCTCCCCTCTCCTCGGCACAAGAGGATACCTGTTCATCCTCCAAGGACGGACTCCCTTCTAAAGGATCATGTCCCCCTTTTCTCTGAGTGATGCCCTCCTTCCAAAAGGCCCTTGTTATCTGTGACTGGTGAGGAGCCGTCACCCTGGGCTTGGGATGCCACTATCACACCTCTGAAGGCCTTGTCAACCACCTCTCTGTCTCTCTCAGCTTCTCGAGGTGAACTCTTTGGACTCAAGGGAACAAACATGCTCCTTTGAGGGCCAGGAACTCCTTGCAGCCAACACACCTACAATTTCTGTCCAGCAGGCAGACAGTCGTACATGTGACACTCAATGCAATACACTGGATAACCCCCAACCCCTGCGGGCTTTCTGCCCTCATAACTGGTATTTTAAATCTTATTTTGTGGTCCGTTTACCCAGGAGATGAAAAAGGGCTGAGTGCCTCTCCCTCTATGCCCTGTGTTTCTCCGGCGTTGACAGAATATGGGTCAAGTTTTTACTGCCTGTGATCCTGGCCGCTGTCTCCCTTTACACACATCTGAGCTTTCTTTCTGCGGTCACAGGAAAATGAACACATGATGTGGCCCTTACACTGTACCAGACCTTCGGTCCATCAAGGTCAGTACCATCTGCTCAGACTAGCAGTTGCCCTCCAGGGTCTTTAGGTCCAGGTGTTTCACCATCACCCGCCACCTGGCTCTCTTAACTGGAGATGCTGGGGATTGGACCCGTAACCTGCTCCATGCCAAGCAGACACTCTACCCCCAAGCCACAGCCCTTCCCCCTGAAATGTTACCTACACGTTTATGCTGCTTGGCTAGTCTTGCTTTGGCCTCTTCTAGCTCTTTCTGGATCATCACCACATGCTTGTTCATCTTTCGGATGGTGGAGTGTAAGATTTCCCAGATATAAAATCTAGTAGAGAAAGCAGCAACGTAAGCCCTCTTGCTCATATCAGCTAAAGGCCAACACATGCACAGTATTACATTCCCTTACAGAAAGAGAGATAAGAGGCAGGATACTATGGACTAGGGGTAATCAGCCTGCATGCATCATTACTAGACCCTTCCTATCATTAATCTAAAAGGCTACTTCGCACAATGGTAAGTAGAAGCTGTTGAACAAAGAAAAAAAAATAGAATTTTGTGATACTTTCTCGAAGATTTACCTGAAAGACTCTTCACTCACCACAAACTGTTATTTTATGGAAGTTAGCATCCCTGCATCCATATCTCACTTGCAATAAACTCTGAATTATTTCAAATTGCGTGCTCAATAGTTTTAATTGGGGGGGGGGGGGTTAGTAGAGATGAGGCCTTGACCTGGATCGCCCAGGCTAGCCCGATCTCATCAGATACTGGAAGCTGGTTAGTACTTGGATGGGAGACCGCCAAGGAAGTCCAGGGTTGCTATGCAGAGGCAGGCAATGGAAACCCATCTCTGTTTGACTCTTGCCCGGAACATCCCAGGGAGTTGCCATAAGTTGGCTGTAGCTTGACAGCACTTTACGCGCACCAAAGAGATGAGAGAGAGGATAAATTTAGTTACCTAGTAAAGTCATGAGCCAGTTCTGGAGAGAAAATCCAGTTTGCTACTGCGGCACAATCCACAATTTGTGTCCGAATCATCTTATCCACCAGTACAGCGATCATCTGCATTATGGGAATGGAAGACCTTGGTTTAGTTTTCTGGAAGCAGATTCCTTTTTGTAGCCAAAGCCAAAAATAACACAAGGTACCACTTATTTTGGCGGCTGCTTTGCTACCATACTCTGAGTTGTAGGCACATCCCAACACTGCATTCCCAAGATTTCCAACGGTTTTGGGTCGTCCCCCCAACCCCGAAAAAATCTGGAAGCTACATTCCTATGCCACACAAAGGTTTCAGATTTTAAAAAAAATATGTCTAGGAGTTAATACCACCTGTCCTTGGAGTCTTCCCCCCTACATTTCTATAAGTCGTTGTTCAAGATGCGTCCCCTCTTGTGCTGGTCTGGGAGCCAACTGAGACAATATGTGCGCATTCTTTTGAGTGTAAGAATTCAACTGGGTCTCCAATTTTAATTCTGAAAGAAGAACTGTGCCCCTCGTATTAATACCGTAGTGTAGACTTATGTTAGCTATTGTACCCTACTGGAGATGCTTTATACCATCATCAACATCCGAAGTCTCCAAAACTATGGGGATAGGAGTACCAGCCTAGCTTACATGATCAGGCTTTGAATGATCAAATGTGTTGTATATATATTGTAAGACGTGGCATGCTTATTTCCTTGTCCTACTTTGCATATAAAATTGATACTTTTATCTTAGACATGTCTGAGACTCTGTTTCATGGTCTATGTTCTGCCTAAGCAGAGCCTGAAATCAGAAAGTGGGCAAAGGCAAAGCCAAACTATTAAGCTGTCAATAAGAAGAAAGTGACAGACACAGTGGGGGGGGGAGTTGAAGTGTTTGATGAATTCCTCACCTGTGGATGGTTTTTCCATACGTCATACATAACTCTGAGGACGTGGAGTTTCCCTTCATCACTTTCTGCCAGTGCTTTGAAGACTTCACGGAATCTTATCAGAATAGGGGGGAAAACAGGGATCACACAGTGAGCAGTTGATAAGTAAAGCACCTTCCCTCTCGGCCAAAGGGGTTGTAGCACACCTTGGGGCCTACGATAACAACGTGAAGTGGTGGGGAGGAAGAGAAACTGGCCAAGGTCTCCCCAGATCATTCCACAATTCCCATTTCCACTCGTCAAAGGAGAACCTTACCATGAATGGGAAGGGGGCAATACCAAGCACTCTGCCAGTCCCCAACAAAGGAGTCAACACTTGCTTTCCATTGGAAGCCAGCAAGGAGAAGGAATGATGTGGGGACACCTTTCTCCTCACCTCGAGCATCTCACGCAAAGCCTGCCCAGTGGTCACAGGCAAAATACCAGTTCAGCACTGCTGCCTTTGTCTGTGCTGAGGCCGCTGTCCCTTACTCTATCCTTCCACCACTCACAAACTCCACAGATGGGCAGAAAGCAGCAAGGGACAGTCAGGCGCACAGTCACCTCTCCCCACCAGAGGCAGAATATGTGTAAACCTTTTTATCCCTATATAAGTCAGTAGTTCAAATTATAAAAGTGGAACCCACCCCTAAATGTAAGCGTCGTTTTGGCAAGTTGGTCCCAAAATGTACAACATGCTACCTCTTCCCCCCACCCAGCACTGAATGCAGGAATCTCACATCGATCCACACTGAACAACCCTAGCTTTCTTATGTTCTAGTGGTTATGAATACACAGCATTGCTGAGCAGCAGACTATTTCATGGCCATTTTGTTACAAAGGCAAAACCAAGGTGTGACACCCAGCCTCCCAGAGCCTTGTCTCCTTGCTCACCCGGCTTCCCTCCTTCCAGGCGTTGCAACAGCAGTGCGTTCCAACACAGAGACTGCTGCTACGCACAGTAGCAACTGATTATTTTATCAAGGGCCAGCATCAGTGGCTTTTGACCCACCTGCCAATGCACACGCAAAAGGGCTCTTTGATCTCCTCTTAGCCAGTGGGAACAGACTGCCCATCTCTCCCCAGATACACTTGTCCTGCTCATTTCCCATTTACCCACATCAGGAACCTTTGTGGCTGTTTAGATTAGAAGGGGTGGGAGTCTGAGAGGCCTTTGCCCATGGTCTCAGATTGGGAAGAAACTGGCAAGATGCACAGAAGTGGGGAAGAATCTTGGGATCAAGGGCCATGCAGGGAGCTCCTGGGAATGTATCCACGTTCCTGAGCTGCCAGCTACCTACGTTG